CTCAAAGGATTTCATACTGGGACTTTTTAAATAATACGGGGAAAAGGTAGAAACGGGTTTAAGTGCAGTGTGTTGAAATTCAGATAACTCATCTAGCTTTACATTTGCAACATCTTTAGAAAGAAAAAAAAATTTTTAAACAAAGCTTCCTCATAAATCTATTAAGATCAAGGAAAGTATCAAATTTATTGATATTGCAACTGGGGGCAAATTTAAAACCCTTTGTTAGAACTTTGGTGTGATTTGCATCCAAAGTTTTATTAGACAAATTAAAAAATTTTATAGGTTCAGTTACCTGTTTAACTCTTTCTAAAATTCCCTTAGGCGCCTTCTTACTCTTCCCTCCTCTGGTTCCTCTTCCATAGAAAACCTTTGTCTTTTTTGAGTGGAAGGTTAGGGTCTTATGTAAGCCTGATTGGGATTCGGGGTTCCTAAAAAAATTCCTTGTTCTGTGTTTTGGAGAGGCTCATATCTATTTCTATGGACATAAGTTTTCTCAGGTACTATATCATTGGGAGGACGTTCCCTAAACTGAGATACTTGTGTATTAGATGTTCTTGTATGGGTATAATTCCTAGATGTTCGATCATAATGTTTTCTCCTCCTAACTTCTGTCCATTGTTGTTCATCTATTTTACCTCTCCGTCCCTGTTGTTCCCTGTAATAATGTCTAGATCCATCTCCAGAATTCCAAGATATATTAGGTTTCTTATTGATATCACGATTTCTCTGGATATCTGGTCTATAATATTCAACCTTTTGATTATGCATTTTCCTTACATTACCTCTTTTATAATCATCTAAATCTTGTTTAAATTTTTTCTGTTTGATATAAAGGGTATCTTTTTCAATTTTATCCAAATTGTTATTGATCTTAATGGATAAATCCTTAAGGTCTTTAGTACCCAACAAGGGTTCTAGTTTCTCTTTGATATTTTTGATGGCTGTATCTAATTTTTTTAGAGTTAGAGATCTCTGTTCCACTATTATTTTAATCATGGTAACTGAAAATGACTCAAGAGCATTATTCCATATGCCTATGAATCTATTATCCTCCTTATCAAATGTAGGGACTTTGTGAAATCTGAGCCCTCTGGGTGTAATTTCTTCTTTAAGATACTTTTCTAGGGTAAAAATCTCCCATTTTATTCTAAGCTCCCTGCTTAGTAACTTTTCTAGTTCTTCACCCATAATATCTAAATCATCACTCTCTTTAAATGTAAAATTATCATCTTCCAAAATTTGGTTGAATTTATTATTAATATTTTCCATCCATCCCTCTCTTCTTTCAAATAAATCCATAATAGAGGGGTATGGATAACAAGCAGCCCAAACTGTACCAGTGGTTACAAATACTAAAACAAAACCCAAAAAGGAAGGTATAGTTTGTGGCGCTGAAACAGCTGCTAGAACACACCAATAGGACTTAACCACAGAGGTCCTACAAGAGACAAATCACAGCTATACAGAAGAGTGTGCAGCGCAAAAAAATATATTCACAAGAACCACATATAAGTGAAAACTTCCACCTTAAGTGAATAGATAATAATAAATAAGTACCCCGATGAAATCGTTATCAGAGAGGGTATGTCTTATCTATAAAAAATAGAAAGATCATAGCATAACACTGTGGTAATGAATAGGTTGAATAAAACAATCTGTATGGTCCAACTCACATATAATAGAGCCTGTTACAAACTGGCTCAGGTATAGTTGCTTAAACAGGATATCCTCAAATGGAATCACGAAAGCTGCAGCTTGATCATATAAATTTCTGGAAATCCAGCAAGTAGCACAACGCGTTTCGACGTTACAATACGTCTTCCTCAGGTGCAATATTGTAATAACATTTCATCCACAATTTAAAACAAAATTGGGCGCGAAAAACGGGCACTTAGAACCCGCCCCCCGCGTCCACAAACCAATCAGTTCCATTTCTCGTGTCTCCCAATCCGATCCGCTATAGTGCCGTCGTCATATTCTTCTACTTCCGCATTTATGCGTTCCACCGCGAGCACTTCCGGGTTCGCTTGCGTTCCATCCTTAATGCCGATGCGTTCCAGCGTTCGTTTCATGCGGTTCACAACGGAAAATCACCCTAAATGCCTCTTAACTTTCTCTGTTACATCAAATCATTGTCCAAATAAGTCCTCACAATATGGAACTCCACAGCACAGTCCCCACATAAAAATAGAAAAAAGGGGAAGGGTGAAAGAGGAGAAAGGGGGGACATAAGAATATATAAATAAAAATACCCATGAATAATACATATAATAAAAAATATGGAATATATTATATATAATTATTCATCTCAAAATCAATGTTAAGGCCATTTGGAGAGAGGGTTTCCAACTCAAAAATCCACTTCATCTCAGTTCTATTCAGAATCTTTAAGTGGTCTCCCCCTCTCCAAGGCTTTTGGACTCTCTGTATCCTCATAAAGTGCAAATTGTCAATTCCACCACCATGAACTTGATTAACATGTGCAGATGGGGGGCGGGTTCTAATTACCCGTTTTTCGCGCCCAATTTTGTTTTAAATTGTGGATGAAATTTTATTACAATATTGCACCTGAGGAAGACGTATTGTAACGTTGAAACGCGTTGTGCTACTTGCTGGATTTCCAGAAATTTATATGATCAAGCTGCAGCTTTCGTGATTCCATTTGAGGATATCCTGTTTAAGCAACTATACCTGAGCCAGTTTGTAACAGGCTCTATTATATGTGAGTTGGACCATACAGATTGTTTTATTCAACCTATTCATTACCACAGTGTTATGCTATGATCTTTCTATTTTTTATAGATAAGACATACCCTCTCTGATAACGATTTCATTGGGGTACTTATTTATTATTATCTATTCACTTAAGGTGGAAGTTTTCACTTATATGTGGTTCTTGTGAATATATTTTTTTGCGCTGCACACTATTCTGTATAGCTGTGATTTGTCTCTTGTAGGACCTCTGTGGTTAAGTCCTATTGGTGTGTTCTAGCAGCTGTTTCAGCACCACAAACTATACCTTCCTTTTTGGGTTTTGTTTTAGTATTTGTAACCACTGGTACAGTTTGGGCTGCTTGTTATCCATACCCCTCTATTATGGATTTATTTCAAAGAAGAGAGGGATGGATGGAAAATATTAATAATAAATTCAACCAAATTTTGGAAGATGATAATTTTACATTTAAAGAGAGTGATGATTTAGATATTATGCGTGAAGAACTAGAAAAGTTACTAAGCAGGCAGCTTAGAATAAAATGGGAGATTTTTACCCTAGAAAAGTATCTTAAAGAAGAAATTACACCCAGAGGGCTCAGATTTCACAAAGTCCCTACATTTGATAAGGAGGATAATAGATTCATAGGCATATGGAATAATGCTCTTGAGTCATTTTCAGTTACCATGATTAAAATAATAGTGGAACAGAGATCTCTAACTCTAAAAAAATTAGATACAGCCATCAAAAATATCAAAGAGAAACTAGAACCCTTGTTGGGTACTAAAGACCTTAAGGATTTATCCATTAAGATCAATAACAATTTGGATAAAATTGAAAAAGATACCCTTTATATCAAACAGAAAAAATTTAAACAAGATTTAGATGATTATAAAAGAGGTAATGTAAGGAAAATGCATAATCAAAAGGTTGAATATTATAGACCAGATATCCAGAGAAATCGTGATATCAATAAGAAACCTAATATATCTTGGAATTCTGGAGATGGATCTAGACATTATTACAGGGAACAACAGGGACGGAGAGGTAAAATAGATGAACAACAATGGACAGAAGTTAGGAGGAGAAAACATTATGATCGAACATCTAGGAATTATACCCATACAAGAACATCTAATACACAAGTATCTCAGTTTAGGGAACGTCCTCCCAATGATATAGTACCTGAGAAAACTTATGTCCATAGAAATAGATATGAGCCTCTCCAAAACACAGAACAAGGAATTTTTTTAGGAACCCCGAATCCCAATCAGGCTTACATAAGACCCCATTATTACAGCCTCCCAAGATCGTTACCCAGAAAAGACGACCTTTTAACATAGATAACCATAAGCAACACAGAACTTCGGGATACGGCTGGAAATTAATCTAAAAGGAACATGAAAAATATACACAAAATAGTGAAGTACAATTAACACATTGTTTTCCGCTGAATACAAATGCACTCACAGAATGAAGTAGAATATATCGCTCATAGGGTGCCTCCCCTAGTGGAATGGGGGGTTGGTAATCCCTTGGCTCCTTCTAGGCTTCCTTAATAATGCTCAGGACTCCAAGCAGGTAATGGTAGAAACAAGATGTATTTATTGATAAAAGGTGAATATTCACCATCAATATAAAGTATAAAAAGAAGAACGGTATGGTCCTACGCGTTTCGTTCTGTAAAGAACTTCATCAGGGACCATATACTTACTGGCTCCTAGCTACGCTATTAAACCTCCTAATATTCATTCTTCTTCTACTATTGTTTTTTTTAGAGGCTGTGGAATCTGCAAGGCCTGTGTTACTACATCATTATCTAAAACACAGTTATTTCATAGTAACATCACAGGGGAAACATTCAAGGTGAAATCTGAGATTGGTTGCCACTCGGACTATGTGGTTTATTTACTACAGTGCCCCTGTGGCAAACAATATGTGGGACGTACAAAGAGGATTCTAAAGGTTAGAATTCTTGAACATCTGAATAATATCAAGAAGAAACTTCAAACTCATTCAGTTTCGGCCCATTGTTCTAATTGTCCATTATTTACTTTTCGGGATTTTACCTTTATGGGCATTGAAAGAGTTTTTCCATTCTGGCGAGGGGGTAATAGAATCCAAAAACTATCCCAAAGGGAGACTTTCTGGATACATCGGTTGAATACCCTAGAGCCGAAGGGCCTCAATATTGGTATCGACTTAGTTTGTTTTTTGGATTAGAATTTAAAATTGATTTTTTATTTATACATATATTCATTCTTTTATACATTATTATTCTGTGGATGATGGTGATTTTGATTAAAATACAACCTTCCGTCTTCCATATGGGTTATGTAAAAGTAAATATATGGTTGAATTGTTTATTATATATATTATATATACTTTGGAATTTTTTCGATATTTAGGAATTTAATTATATTTGGGAGTATGGTCTTCTTGTATCTTGGAGACACACAGGTATTGATAAAGACATTATCCTGTATGCATTTATCAATTAATGGGTAAAAGTACAACCATTTGGGACATTAGATATATGTGTAACTCCACTTAATATGGGAGATTTTCTATAGGAACACTATAAAATTTAGTTTTTTTAAAATTTAGTTTTTTTAAATTTAAATTTATATTTTTTTAAATATTTATGATAAAAAAAATTTAAATTTTTTTTTTGTGGCACGAACCACTTACTAATAATTAATGGATATTGATATATATCATATAGTTTAACTATGTATGTTACACTTGAAATACAATGTTTTGTTGACAATAGGATCACATATATTATATAAATTGTGCAATTTTAGTGCACCTTTCACTTTAAGAAATACTGTGTGACACTGTCTAATTACAATAATCTAATGGTGACTGATTAAATCAACTAACATAAGAAAATGTAGAAAATAAGGTTATTAATATTGCTTTTTTCTTCAGCAGATAGAATATATTGCTTTTTATTGTTTTTTTCTGATTATACATTCACATTGAGGCATAATGAAGGTGGAACGCATTTCAGCCGCGGGTGGAACGCATGTGGAACGCAAGTGGAACGCGGAAGTGCGATTCATTTTCCACTTCCGGTTCCGGTCGCTCGAACGCGCCGAAATTGATCACAGCAACACAGGGAGGATGAAAAACAGCTGAAGAAGCTCCCTCTCAGGACCAATCAAGCAATAGATACTGGATACCACCCACGGAACAACCAATGAACTTGGGGATTAGCCCTATTTAAAGAGGACTCAGGGATGGGGGGAATAGGATTTTTTTTTATATACTGTAATTGTATATTGATTTTATTTCTTATATACGGTCCCTGATGAAGTTCTTTACAGAACGAAACGCGTAGGACCATACCGTTCTTCTTTTTATACTTTATATTGATGGTGAATATTCACCTTTATCAATAAATACATCTTTTTTCTACCATTACCTGCTTGGAGTCCTGAGCATTATTAAGGAAGCTTAGAAGGAGCCAAGGGATTACCAACCCCCCATTCCACTAGGGGAGGCACCCTATGAGCGATATATTCTACTTCATTCTGTGAGTGCATTTGTATTCAGCGGAAAACAATGTGTTAATTGTACTTCACTATTTTGTGTATATTTTTCATGTTCCTTTTAGATTAATTTCCAGCCGTATCCCGAAGTTCTGTGTTGCTTATGGTTACATAAGACCCCAACCTTCCACTCAAAAAAGACAAAGGTTTTCTATGGAAGAGGAACCAGAGGAGGGAAGAGTAAGAAGGCGCCTAAGGGAATTTTAGAAAGAGTTAAACAGGTAACTGAACCTATAAAAAAATTTAATTTGTCTAATAAAACTTTGGATGCAAATCACACCAAAGTTCTAACAAAGGGTTTTAAATTTGCCCCCAGTTGCAATATCAATAAATTTGATACTTTCCTTGATCTTAATAGATTTATGAGGAAGCTTTGTTTAAAAAATCTTTTTCTTTCTAAAGATGTTGCAAATGTAAAGCTAGATGAGTTATCTGAATTTCAACACACTGCACTTAAACCCGTTTCTACCTTTTCCCCGTATTATTTAAAAAGTCCCAGTATGAAATCCTTTGAGAAAGCATGTATGATTGAGCTCAAAAAAATTAAACCTCTTACAAAATTCCAACAAAATCTTACATGGGGAGAGAAAAAAGCTTTGGAAGATTTGGCCAAAGATGATAGTATTATCATCAAACCGGCAGACAAGGGGGGGGGGAGTTGTCATTATGAATAAGGTATACTACACTGAAGAAATCTTGAAACAATTAGAGGATGACAATACATATGGGAAACTTAAAACTAATCCAGAACCTAGTATTAGAAAAGAACTGATTAGGTTTTTAGACCAAGGTTTAGAATTGG